AGAGGGGGATGACGCAAGAACATCCCTGTAAGAATATGAATGGTACCTGCCAGGGTCTGGGTGCTGCCTGCCTGTCAGGGTCCACTACCCTGTCGCACACGTCTGCGGAAGCACATCACCAGCATGACCCATTTGTCGGACTGCCACGTTTCATTTAGAGCGTTAGGGAAATAAAAAGAGTCTGGGCATACACAGCATACACAGCATTTGAGCAGCAGAAATTGTCCCTCACTGAAATATAACAGTTTAAAATATGGGTACTTTTCAAGTTCATTATAAACAAGTTTATAAGAAATAAAATCTTCCTAAAGCTCAGGGCACTGGGCCACTCCAGAGGTACAGGTGCCTTCTACACATTCTGGCTTACATTCCCACTCCGCTGCTCGAGTCATCTCACGGTTTCACAGTTGGGTTCTTCACGCTCATATTGCTCTACAGTGACACCAAGTGTTGGCTAAGTGCTTAACAGGCTGTAGGTGGAATAGCACGAGTTGCGAGTATGTCACCTTAAGTGACACTAAGTCCTCTACTGTACTATGGGTCATCTTGCCTTCACACATGTTCCCTGGTAGTAGTCACTGGCATCTTTGAACCCTGTAAGCTGTTTCATTCAAAGGTTGCAGTTAGACAAGTGTCAGGAAGTCATCCTTGAGCTATCTCACCTCGGAGCCAAGACGACTATCAGCAGACATCGGGCAGAAGGACAAAAGTGCTTGGTGAAATGCAGGAGACAGCTTTCTGGAGACCAGAACAAATTAATGTTCAGTGTGCAAATTCGTGATGAAAATAAGATATAACTGGGTACCAATAAATTAGTACCTTATTACTTAAAGATCCCTCTATATCCACCTGTCCTGACATGACATTTGCTCGTATTAATTCTCTTCCATAAAATGCCAGCATTACCTTACCAGCATTACCAGTTTTTTCTGAGGTTGTGGCGCCCTCTAGTGGCGAGTATATTAAAACACACTGAGTTTAATATTACTGTACTTGCTTGGGCTACAACCAGTCTGTACTAACATGTAGACAAAGAGCAATGAACCACATCAAAATGCTAATTAACGAAATAACATTGCAGGCAGAGAAAATCCATATAAATGACATTTTCATGATTCATATCCTTTCCTGCCATAAATCATTGTCATTGCATTGAAGGGTGGAACCGGAGGGTAAATCTACAGGACACCGTGTGTCTGACATGTAAGCGAGCATGACTATCAAAGGGAGCTTCCACAGTCTCACCTGTTTGGCTGATCAAACTCAACAGGCCCCTTCCTTTGCGAGGTCTGACATTTTAACTTTGCATGGGGTGAAGTCTGAGGCCTGGTCAGGTCGGTGACTTGCGAATGGACGGGCGGCGCCTCCTGCAGGTCAGGGTCAGAGCTGAAACCCCCGGCTGGGCCGTCTGGCACGTCATCCTGATCCGTGGAGCGCCGGATGTCCAGGTACTGTCCGTTATCCTGGGGCCCGGGGTCGGGCAGCCGGCCCGATTTTGCTGCCGTGACGAGCGGCGGGATGGAGATGCTCTCCTTAATGATGCGCATGTCACTGAAAGAGATGGCGTTCCGCCTTCGCTTATTTCAGGGCAAATTCCATCAGAAGGCAGTTTGTGTGAAGGAGAAAGGACACCTCTGGTGAGGTAACAGAAGAGTGCATCTGAGAGCACAAAGGGAAATTCACACACCCACCCAACCCTCATTGGCCCTCACCGGCCCCCTGTTCTTCTCCACAGATAGGGGCAGCCCATGGCTTAGTAGGTTAGGCCTCGGTGCCTGTGATCGGAAGGTTGCTTGTTTGAACCCCTTTCTTGGCAGAATAGTCACGTCTTGCTTGGGCGTGACGCTTATCACTTATGATTAAAAGGTTCGCCTAGCTAGCGCCGGGAAGGACTCGGTTTATTATGTACACCTAGCTAATACTGGGTAATACCACTTTATTAACCTCTGAAAAGGCTCCAATGATGCTGGATAAATGGCCTAACCCTAACCCTAACCCTAACCCTAACCCTGCACTCAGAGCCCAAGCTTGGTTCTCAAATGTTCATGTTTCTCAAAGGAGTGAAAGATCAGATAGGCGAAAAGAACCATTCCAAAGTACTTAATAAAACATCATCTCATGCCATACCTCTCCAACTTCTTGATCTTCTCTAACAGGCTCTTCTTCTCGCTGTTCAGGAGGCTGATCTGGTACTCCAGCTCCTGAACCACGGCCGCTTGCTGAAACGTGGAGCAAACAGTCGGTCACTTTCAATCAATAAAAGTCATGCAAAAAGTGCTATTAACTACAGGGGCAACTACAACTACAGTGGACCTAAAACGTGCAAACAATCCATCCAACTTATCCAGTGCTGGGGCGTGATGAGTTTAGGGCCGATTCCAAGAAGCACAGGGCACACTTGAGGGAACGGAGTGTATAAGGTGTCACCAGGGGGTGAGACACACACACACACACACACACACACACACAGACACACACACACACACACACACACACACAGACACACACACACACAAATGCAATTTAGAGGCATCAATTTAACAAGCTGGGAGTCTGTGGATGGTAGAAAATGACTGCAGCACCTACAGGAAACCTAAATAAATGCAGAGAACATTCAAAACGCTGATGTGTGAGGCCACTGAACTGAGTGCTACCCACAATGCAGCTGTGCATGTGCCAAAGTGAAACAGGGAGGCTCGCTCGACGGCAACACACCTGCGGGAGCTCGGTGTTCAGCGAGGGCTGCGGCGTGACCGGGCCAGACGGCAGCTCGTCGGCCTCCACACCCACGCCGACGTCCACCGTATCCCGGGGCGATGGTGGGCTGGAGCCGCAGTTCCGGTACAGGTGGAGGAGGTCAGGGGGTTTTGGGATGTTCAAGCCCACGTCGTCCCACAGCTCAAAGTCCTGCAGAGGGCGCACAACAGCAAGTCAACACGCTTCCCTATCAATAAGCAGGCTGGAGATTTACAGTTTGTTTTTTTTTTTTTAAAGTAAAGATTTCAGTACATCATAAAAAACTATTACAAGAAGCTTTGATTCAATTTATTTTAGGTCTTACTAATGTATTAATATTTATGTACCAGGACACAACAAAATATGAAAAATCAAAACATTAATCCTTAAATTACACTTTCAAAACTCAATTATTTATTGGAAAAAGCATGTATAGCCTATGAAGGACACAACTATGTTACTAGCAAAAATTTATTGCAGTCATGATATTCAGAAGTTACCTGATCATCATTTTCATCTGAGAACGTGATGGACGAAAGCTTGTAATTGTTTTTCAATAAATACTCGTTGACTAGAAAATTTAATGCTCTTTTCTCAAGAGGGCGGATAGGTTCCTGCAGGAAGGGAGGACGGAGGTTTAGCGTCGAGACACGATGTGCACATGTGACACCTCCAAGACGGGGTGGGGATCGCTGTCCCTACCTGAATTTCAGGGCTGGATTTGAAGTTCTTCCTCTCCTGCATACGAACGTCGCTCTCTGTAAGAGATGAAGAGCAGCCGTCGGTCGGCCTGCGCACTGCGCCACCGGCCCAAGGAGCTTGAGCGGCTCTCGAAGCAGAAAGACTTGAAGTAGTAAAAGTATAAAGTACGCCACCTGCTGCCTGAGTCAAGTTGGCCCGCAGAGCCTGTATGGTCTCCTTGGCTTTCCGTAGTTCAAACTCCAGGACTGGACAGGGAGTGGATTAAACACACACAGGCATCCAGCCAAGAAAAGGGAACAAAGAAATAAAATAAAAAAAGAAAACACAAAAAAGGGGATGACCATGAAAAACAAAACCGAACAAAAATGATACACTCTCTAAGAAGCTGAACAAAAAAATGAAAAAGAAAAGAAAAAGAAAATATAAACAAACAGAAGGTCATGCAAATTATGGACGCATGCAGCAGAAGTTGCTGGAGAAGCAGAATGGTGACCACTTTCCATACTTTTCTTGAGATCTTTGAGCTTTTTCTTGAACAAAAATACTCCTGCTGTCTGACCAGGACTCTCAGCCTTAGCTTAAGCATTACAAGGGAATGAGATTTTTATTTATGTTTGTTTTAAACCATTTTAGTAATATGTTACATTTCAAACGAACAGCTGTTATTTAGATTTTGAGGTACACTGAGGACCAAACACTAATAAATGGTGAATCAGACAAGTTTTTTTTCGACACACAAAATGGATCCATACACTTATAGTGTGTCTGAATGAAAAATAAATTGAAATACACTGAGGTTAAACAGGGCAAGGTCACAACTGCTCCAAATATGCCACAAATGCTACTTAATCTTCCGCACTGTTTGTCAGGTTAAGATATGAGAGGACCATTCTATGTCGATACTAGTATGGCCTCAAATAAGACTGAAAAGCGTAGGTTGTCTGTAAATCAGTCTAGTGCTTAAAAAAAGGCGGAAAAATCAGCGAAAATAAAAACAGAATAAAATTTAAAACAGCTTTCAATGTGGAGGTAAACACAGAGAGCAGTCAAACTACAGTTAGGGAAAAGGGGACAGGAAGTCACTGGGCTGAAGGTAACAGGTCCACAGAACCCCCGAAGGCGGGTTCCGCAGACAGGCATGGAGAGCAGAGGACGCTTTGCATGACTGTGCACTGACGATCTGCGCCCCCAAATGGTCCACCGGGCAGGCTTTTGGTTTCCTCTCCCCTAAGCACTTTACGAAGGCCAGGCCCACCTCGTCCGTCCCAACCTGGACCCATTCCTGTATATCTGGACCCATGTCTTTGCGGTCGTCAAAAACAAGAGGGAGGTAAGAGACCACGCCTCAAGGTTAGCTTGGGCCAAGTAGCGGACAAAGTTCTCGTTGAGGCCAGTCGTCATGGAAACGTACAAATCAATACACATGTAAATGACGCAGATCAGGAATGCACAAAATGCAAATACAGATGCAACAAATGGAACAACTCAAAAAAAAAAATATTAAAAAAAGAAACTGAAAGAGAGGTGGGGTTCAGCAGAAGGGCTGCTAACTCGGATGGTAGCTGGTCCAGTATTGGAAAGAGAAAAGCTACGTTTAAATTCTTTAAAACCAGAAAGCCAGATCTCCCGGAGTCAGACAGCAGGGGTGGAAAAAGAGAGGACAGGATGCATCCCTCTTTCCCCCCCCCCCCCCCACCCCAAAGAAAGACCAAGTTCAAAAGGTATGGAGGCACCACACTGCTTTCAGCGACTACAGCGGAACACGGCGCATCTGCTGCATGGACCCCGAATCCCCCCTAAATGGCACCCCAGCCTTCTAATCTGGCCGCTACGATGTGCCAATCTAGCTAATGGGACGCATATATAGCATCGCTGTGTTTTCGGAACATGCCGTTATAAAGTATATGCCGAAAACTAATTCTGCTACGGGGTGAAAAATAAATAACGAAAATAACTGACAAAACAACCAAAGACACAGCAAGAACAATACACATTTCTACATGAAATATCATGGTAGTATTAACGCATTAATACGTTTAGAAATAAAGGGTCGCTTCGGTCAATTTTCGTCAGAAATAGATGTTTAGTTTTAGCAATTTTTGAAAAAGCAATCGTTAATAGTATTGATTAAATTTTTTTATTAGTTTGTGGGCAGCTCAGCAGTTCAGGGATCTCACGTTGACATAGTTTATAATACAAATTATTCTACTGATAGTTCCTACCTGAACCCTAACAAAGGCTTTGGAATCCCCGTGTGAAATTCTGCATACCTGAGGTTTGGTCAGACTGCTGTTTATAAATTGCGCTTAAACTGTGTGTGTACCCTATATATGCCTTGTGCCCTTGTGCTCTAGGCTTGCCCTGACCCCAAATAAGCGGTTCTAGAAACAGAGGGGCCGCTAATAAAACATTTACGGCACTTCACTCCTATCTGAAGGCTTTCGCGAAACCTCCAAACAAACGTATCAGTCTGTAAAAAACACGTGCAGGGCTAACGTTGCTCCGCCTCGAGTCTGGCTCGAGTCTCCATAAAGGACACTGTGACATGTGATATGCACCTCGAGGAGATGACGCAAATAAAACCCTGACATCTAACATCATTGAGCTTGTCAGGAGGAAAAAAAAACAAAAAAAAAACATGTGATTAAGTCACATGATCCGTAGGTTATGATTTAGAAAATGGCCCCCCGTCACTTGTGCTAAATCGGTCTTTCAAATTCCTGACAAGGCTCCATAAAGGGCAGTAAATACTCTATGTTCCCCTGACACATGCATGGACATCGAGACTGTGATGCTCACTTCTCCGAATCACAAAGTGGTGCTTTTCTTGTTCCCGCGCCCCCCCCCCCGCTCCAAAATGCTTCCTCCTCAGCGTCTGGCCTCTGCTCGCACTTCCTCCCACAAAGTTCCCTTTACCTGCGACGCGCTCGTCCGATTCCCTGTTCCCGTCGTCGGAGTAGCGGGCAAAATCCAGGGAGTCCAGAGTGCTTATGCTTCCGGTGCGATCTGAAATGAAAACGAGTAATGAGTTTCCCCACAGCCACTGGGAGACTGGCGATCGCACATTAAACAACGAGGTCACCAAGATCACCCTGACTCTCACATAGGAGTCCCGTCTTTCTTTAAAGATTGTAGGTGACTTGGTTGTGGGGCCACCTTTTCAGGGGCCCCATGTGTGTGAGCATGGACAATGATAGCTTTGGTGTGGAGGTCAGGGGCCCCAGAAGAATATTCAGGGGCCCAACTCTCTTTTTATGTGACCCTGTTTGTTTGTCTTGTCTTCAAGTTTTCCTTTGCAGGAAATAAGGGTCTGGACATATACCCACGAGGGGCCAGGTTTAGTGAGGGAACATTGCACAAAAGATGGTCCATGATGGAGTGATAATCATCCTCCAGCACGTCCCATGCAGGTGGAGGTCCCTTCTAGGCAGCCATCCAACATCTACCTGCAAAAGCACCCACTGCTTCCCATCTCCGTCTATGTCGGCTGCTTCCCAGCATGAGGTTAAGGCCCAGCATAGTGAGACAATCCCGCCCCCTGATTGGGGTATTCATCAATTCCCAACTGGGTCCCAAAGGCTTTTCGTAATGCAGTTACCGGTGGCCTGCATGCTGCTGATTACCCCCGGAGCAGTGCATGGCGGCTTCCCAACAAGTTGTCGCATTACAAATGAAACAAAGTCTGGATGCCAAAAGGTCCGAATGCCTAAAGCTCGATAAGTTGTGTACAGTACGTGATCACTTCAAAATGAGGCTATGGATTTTGGGGGTGTGAATTTGATCATATTTATTAGTGGAATGCATGGTTAGCAGCATGAAAAATGGATGAACGTGCATCAGAGCACAAAGACCTTAAAGAAGTAATCACTCTCAGAGGTGCTAATGGTGATGTTTTATGCAATAACCACTAACAATACCGTGCTAGTGGATGCATAGTATTCCTCAAGAGCAATGCGTTCCACACATGGTGATACCAATATTCCATTACGATGGTTTGACTGATGATACTCCGACTTTATGATGATGCATTGGCAATGCAATTTCAGCGGTCAGACTTTACGTTTTGATCTGTTCCCAGGCTAGTGACATTGTCGTATGATGGCAGGATCCATCCAGCCACGCATTCCAGTCTCTGTAGCGATCATGAGCGTAAACATCTCATGCAGTGTATAACAACCTATCACACAGTGTTTTCTTCTCTGTTTAACCAGATTTATTTACTTATTCAGTGAAAGTAGCTATTTATTTACTTAGTTATATCATATTGACATTTGACTCAAGTGTTTTCAACTTGTGCTGGATTCATCATCACATAACCCCATCGGAAGTCGGTGAGCATCTGTATTTTCAAAATTGCTCTAAGCAGAAGTCATCCTCTGTGGCTCCACCTCTGAACGTGATTGGCCAAGAAATTCAATGAGTGCTGTTAAAAATGACAGAAGGCCAGGGCACGTAAAAATAATATATGATGCTATGTCTCACAGCAGAGCAAAGAAAAGGGAGGCTGGTGCGAGTGACAACTCTCACTTTCACCTTTGCATGATTGTAGCGAAGCTTGAAACATGGAAAGTGGACTGACGTTTTTCAGGAAATGGGAAAGATGTATTTGACCGAGACAAAAAATTAATTGGACAACAAATACAAATCGTACAGCACATCACAAAAAAAAGCTTGTGGGAGTTTTATTTACACAACAATGTTCTGGGGGCAGAAAGAACAAAGATTGGTTCAGAGAGATAACCAATCAGATTGTAGAGGAGGTGGGTCCAAAGAACTTGAGGGAGAGGGACCACGACATTTGATTGGTTGGTCTCATCTCCTCTAGTTGCTTGGATCAGAATGTTTTTATAACCCCATTTATAAATGAGTCTAAATTGAGTGCCTGGCATAATGAATCTAAAGTTTTATCTCAAAGAGATCCAAGATAATTATTCATTGGATATTTTAATTCTTTCCTTGCAAATCAAAAACAAACACTCACTTGTCGGCAAATCCTGGGCCAAGTTATGGTTCAGCTAGGTGCGACCGGCACCTGCTGAAGAACAATCCGGCGTGAAGGGGAGGAACCAGGATTCACCAAGGCCCCCGCTGCCGGCGGCCGTCCCAGAGAGGGCCGAGGAGCATCCCATCTGTCATTCCAGCAGGAAGCCAGACACAAGCGCGTCCTTGTGATCAATAGGATATGAGGGTCAGCTCTGCAGCTCAGGTGCTCCTCCAGAGAAGGTCCATGCTTGGCGAGAGCCATGGAGTCATTTTCCTACATCCGACTGTTTTCCTAATGCCCGCGATGCTCATCGCCAAATTTCACAGTCTGATCTGATATCTATAACAAGCTGGTTCTGAAGCTGGTCCTCAGCCACCACCTGCATGCCTGACGCAGGGAACCAAAAGTTTTCATAAATTAGTCCAAAAGTAAAATCTGGTGTGTAGGTGGTGGAACGGGATATAAACTGAGGCTGAAACTCAACCAGCACTGTCAACTTGGAAGGCGGTGCGTGGTCTGGGGAGACACAGCGATACTCTCTCTGCACCCTCATCGGCACGGCAGAACTGGCAGGCAGGCTGTCATTTTTATGATTAACTGCACTAGCTGAGGAACTAGCTAGAGCATAGACCTACCGTTAGTGTCATCAGCAGCAGAGATAATCTTCACCTGATAAAAACACTATAAAATATAGTTTTTTTAAGTACGCAATACAGATTAATAATATTCTGTTTTTTTTTTTTAACAATGATAATAGTATTTCAATTCTATTAAAGTCCCCACAGTAGTAGAGTGATCAATAGCTTCCGTTTTAATTAACAGTTTTTAAAATATTTAATAATTGGTAAAAACAACTATATTTCATCCTGCCAATATATGTTGACTAACACACACTGCGTGTCTGGAAAGAGAAATATGCCGGAAGATATTTTGGAATTAATCCATCTTCTGCTGAAGCAACATACTGAAATTCAGCATCCTGAATTTTAATCCACAGATGAGTCAATTAGGCCAGATTTCAACCGGGTGAAGAAGATCCATATTGGACTGGACACACGTCGACAGCTCTCTGGGCTGCATTTTGATTGGATTTCCATCGCAGCATGCAAATGAGTATGCAAATGTGCCAGCTCTGCATCCGAACAGGTCAGCCCGTGAGAGGTATGCCGCTTCAGGCTGCTGCTACGGCCTGAAGCCACGGGCCGACGGGGATATTGTATCCGACAGCGGAAATATAGACGTTTAATCTGCTGTTATGGCCCTTGGGAGGTACGCTTACTTAAGGGATGACGCCAAGATTTGAACGGGAGAAAGATGACACCACACAGCCATTATTTCTGGCTTCTCAGGTTCTTCAACAGCTCCCGAAGAAATATTAGAAGGCTCTTACTCGCAACCAATTCACATAATAATTATTTATAATTAATAACATTATTATCAGGTCCTTTTATTCTTGTTTTGCACTTGTCTTGTCCAGAATTGCACTACAGTTCATCCTATCCCCCATGCTTGAAACACCGCAGAGAAATTAAAATTCAAATTGTGACTATTAATTGCTACCATTAAAATACAGAAACCCAATTAGCTGTTCACTTGTAAAAATCCCTGGGAAATCATTTTCAGTCCAGGAAACAACATTCCAGCTACAAAACCATTAATTGTTTGCCTCAGATTGCATTAGCAATTTAACAGTATGGGAGCCAGCCAGAACAGAAAAAAAAATAAATCAAAGCCAGAAAAAAGGACTACATAAATATTTGAATGTATGCCAAAGTATGATAAAATACTTTACATTCCTTAAAGGTATCACCACAGGTAAACTTTCATTCTGATGGAGAAATTACTGACTTGGCAGCAGTTTGCCATTTAACAAATTCTCTTATAATTATTTTGTTCTGCCCTGTGCTTGTTTAATTACAGAGAATACTTTTCCTTAACCAGTTCTAAGACTTCTAAGTCTTATTCTTCTTTGTTGGGATTAGTCCCAAGAGACCTCAGAAAATGGCTGGTGCCTACATGCTAATTACAAACCCTGTGACACCTCACACCAGAAAAGGCCTCACTCAGCGACGGTACCGTCACACGACGGCTGCCCTGGAGATCAGACTGACGAACGCTTGCCGCTTCCTTGGCAACCCCAGGTAGACCAATCCGCGGTGTGATTCAGGCCTGCGTCTCCGATTACAGCACAGAGGCCCTGTCATCATCGACCGGCAGGTGCTTGGGGGGAGGGGGGGGGGAGGGGCCAGCGATAGAGGACCAGGGTGGCCTGCAGACGTTCAAAAGGGTGTCGCTAAATGCTCTCTCACCCTCTGCTGTTGTGATGAACAGTTTGGTTAGAATAAAATCCCTCGAAACCCCAGCTCTTCCGTGTGATCTGCTGCATTCATATTCCAGAGGCCTGCTTTCTGGCCACAAAATTTGGCATGCATTTTAACAAATAGTTCTCTGTTTCTCAGAGTTTCCCTAACACGTTCATTTAGCATTTCTCAAATTTAAAATGATTATTTAGCGACCTGGAGTTGTGTTCTTTAAAATGGGCCAATACACATTAACAACTATAAAATACACAACCCCCACAATCTTCCTTGATCCTTACTTCATTAAACCCTTGTATTGCCAGTTACTTCTTTTTCACAGGTCTCCTGGCATATTTAAATCACTATCTTAGCATTTCAGCATCAGGTTCTATCTGAGGCTGACACTCCCGACTCTTCATGCCTCCTACCGTTCACCCTACCGGGGGGAGACTGAGCCCAGTAATGAATTAAACCAGCAGACTCTGGCACTGGGCTTCGTTAAAGCCAAATATCAAACCCTGATTATGAATAACCTCCTTTAAGCATTGATCTTGATTCCCTTCCTTTCTTGGGTGCAAGCGACTGGTCAAACTCATGAATTTCATAACATAATATTTGCAAAACTGTCTGAATATTTTTTTTCTTTTTACAACAATGAAATGACATTGCAAAAAACCTGACAGGATAAACATTTCCAGGAGTGGAATGTTCTCTTTATCCTT